CCTCGCCGCGGTCTCGCTCCTGTTCGTAGTCGCTCTTCTCCCTGGCGGTGTATAAGTTGGTGAAGGCCGGGTGGTCGATGAGCTGGTCGATGCGAGTCCGAAGAGCTTGTTTCGTGCGAGCCTTCAGTTCGGTGACGTTCCCTTGCTCGTCCAAACCCAGGGCGCGTGCGAGTTCCACCAGTTCCCTCCGGTTGAGGCGGTAGTGAGGCCGCTCAAAGACTTCTTCGTTGGGGACCCAGGGGGGCATTTTGTCAAGCGAGTGTAGGTTTTTGGCGATATGTACTAGGATGCAGATACGCCTCCCGCTCTCGCGGTGAGGCTCCGGAAGGAAGAGGCGTGAGAAAAACTACATAGACGCGGCGCTACGATATCTGCTCCCTCTCCCCAAGACGGCGCACCGAGCTTCGCTCGGTGCTCGCCTGTCGGTACGCAATCGCTCAGAGCGCGTACGCAGATCAGCCAAGCGATGGACGATCAAAGGGAAGGGGGCTCGCGTGAAGGAGTCGGGAGAAAAGGTAGCTATCTGTATCGATGGTCCTGTCGACCTTGCTAATAGCTTCAAAGAACGCATCGCCCCATAATATGATTGACGAGACGCAGAGCACGCTGCTCTATTGAAGATGGAGGCGAATAAGTGCTCAGGCTGATCAATGGAAATGGACTTATAATCAATTTTTTGGACCGAACGTGAGCCGAACTTTTGATACCCTGGACAAGAAGTATGTCAATCATTTGACGATACCCGGACTGAATGTATATAGACCCCTGTGCTATATTATGGTAACAAGGATGTACGTACTCACAGTCATGTAATTCTGCATGCCGTGCGCTCTTCGAGAGCGAATTCAGCCCGAGGTCATGGTTACGGCACCTAGAGCTGGTGGGCAGCGGTGGGTCTCTCGCAGTGCATCGCTCACTGCGTACTGGCGGCTTTATGATCAGCCAAGTATTTTGCATATGTATAGGCGGTTTCTGGACGAAGGCTTTTGTCGAGCAGGCTTCGCTATCACGAGTCGCCGCGTCCTCTCGATTGGCGCACAGACAGCGAGGGCTCTCCCGCACAGCGGCGACCACTACCCACGCATCTGATCAAGACACGAACGAGAATATCCAGAATATTACATCGGGTCGCCCCATCGGACATCCGATCGCAACATTGTCCGCGAGGGCGCTGACTTGACCTGTGGCATTGACACAGGCACAGGCACCAGCTGTTGGCGCCCTTCCCATTCTTCAAACGGAATCCAACGATGGTGGTGCAACACCATATGCCGCCATCGCCTCTCCTCGTCGTCCCACTCGATCAGCGCGTCCGAAGAGTAATTCACAAAGACCATCTTCCCGCCCTCATACCCAAATTCTTTCGCATGCGCAACCCACCGCGGCAGCGTGCGCATGGCCTTCTGTTCGCAGTACGCGCACCAATTCCTGCGGCGGTGCAGCTCGAGCAGCGTCGTGTACGGTATCTCGCCAAAGCTCGCGTACAGCGGCGCCCACTCCGAGTCAGGCGCGGTGCGGCGCTGGATCGGCATGGGCATCGTGCCGAAGCCGCCGCGCGCGAGCTGCGCTTGGGCTGGGCGGTAGGAGTCCAAATGGAGCCGGAGGGCCTGCTCACGCTTCGTGAGTTGGAACCGACGGCGGGGGTCATGCGACGGCGGGGGCGGACATGGGCTTCTGTCGTCGAAGGCGTGACCCTGCTCGTCGACGCCCATGCGTGGGCGGAGCAACCTCTCTGTGTCCGGGTTGGCCCGGCTCTGGATGCGCGGACATGTGCAGCAGGTCGCATCCTCACCGCAAAAAAAGCTGAGCAGCGCGCGGTAGTAGGAGTGGAGCTTGTCGTCCATGGTTTCCCCGTTCGGGGTACCTTTGGCAGCGTCAGACTCCATCTGTCGCAGCGCCGCAACGACCGCCTTAAGATCGGATTCTCCTCCATTGATCCGGATTACTGGAGGTTTCACGGAGAGCTTCGGATCCTGTTGCTGTGTAGAACTGCGTGGACTGCCGTCAGGGACAGATGCACGTCGCTCAAGGGCCACGTACCTGGGTGGGTCTTCAACCTCGGATCTTTCCACTGTCGAACGAGTAACATGCGTATTGGGGGTGGCGAGCCTCTCCAGGTCGCTCATCAGGGCCTGAGAGAGAGCCGCAGCGCTCATCGCCGCTTTCTCCGTCTTCACTACAAGCCTTTGAAGCTTCTTTGGCTCGTGTCGTAGCTCCGTGTCCGGAGCCGATAGATAGTCAGCGTCGTCCCCAAGGCGGCGACGCTTGATGCAGCGCTCAGGCGCCACAGGATCCGGAGATTGTGACCGTTTCCGCGTTGGCCAACGATCTTGGGGTGCGGGTGATATAATGGTAATCACCTCGTCTTCGGAGGTTTCCCCTGGCGTCGTGGACGGCTCGGAACGAGGACCAAGACCAAAAGTGGCGCTAACGCTACCTTCGCAACGCGATGAACATGAAGTTGATTGGAATGCGGTAGATGAGACTCACTGCACACTTCCCAGAGTCTCCGTGCCGTGTTGTGAAGGCTAGCGCCTAGTGAGAAGACATGCTGTTCTGATGGCTCAGCGCGTCTGCGCTTTTGACGAACATGATCGGTTTCCGTCCAGAGTTGATGAGAGCCACACTCCATGATGGTTAGGGGTCAAGTCGTGGCGATAAGTAGTAGTCTTTTGCAAGCAATTCAGAAACCCCGCGCCGAAGTGTGCTGTTTGCGCGGGTAGACAGATCGAATAGCTGGTACGGACGACGAGTGCCCACTGCCAACTGTGCTAGCCAAGGGGACACGTTGTCATACCCATTGTCCAAGTCCTCACGTGAAACGAGGCCGCGCGACGCGACGCGTCGCGTCGAGATTAGGAACGTCCGGGAGGCTCGATGAACGCACTCAATAATCGACTCGCGCAGATCTTGAACGCAGGCGCGTATTTTCTGTCTCTGGATACTACTAGCATTCACAGGGCGAGGCATGAAGACTGCGTGCCGCGTCCGAGAAGACAATAAGCCCCACTGGTTCATCGCCTCTCTGATGCCTCGTCGCCAGAACCCGTGGCTGAGACCATACAGATTGACCTTGATGCTTGCTCCATGATTGCGGCAAGTTGCGTCGTTCCCATTGGTGTGAAAAAGCTAACTGGCTTACTATAGTCATGGAATAGGTGCGTGTATCTTTATCTTGGCATTTATTGACCTTTTCAGCGCATGACCGCTTGCTAGAAGTAAGTAAGTCCATCTCCGCTGCGTCACAAAGGAAAATCAACTAAAGTCACCACCGGTCAACATCAATTCGTCTTTTGGCGGTTCGGGCCGATCGAGGTGCGTCCTTATACTTATCTGACAATTCCAGGTGCACATAAGGCTCTTTCACAGGTACCAAGCGATCTCCCTGTGCCGAGCCAAGAATTACTTATTCCTTCTTCGCGTCTGTCGTCACGCGAGCTCCGTACTAGTTCTGAAACGCCCATAGGTTAATCACTGCTCACCCGTCGAGATCGTGACAAAGGATACTCGCTCGAACGTCGTCCTCAAGCTCCGCCGAATGCTTTTGACTTGTACCGAGGTCCATGAGATACACAACAATGCGATTCAAGGCGAGCGTGCTATGTAGGTATCCCCAGCGGTCGGCGCACTGGCTGATGACAAGATGTGGCCAGCGCTTGACGGAGTCAGACGGACAGAGGGACGCGCGCGGCAACATTCCCACGAATACCAAAAGACAAAACGAGCCAGGTCTCCTACTCTCACGAACGAACATCGTACCAAACGGTCTCGTGTGTGAGGGCAGCCAGCGAGATAGGCAGCACTTGGCCGAGATTGAACGGCTGCGCGATCACAAGCGAGTAGACTACTAGAGTAGCCGCAGTTGCTTTTTTTCTAGATCAGATGACGCGACTAGCGAGCGCGGGCTTGACGACGACGACAACAACAGACCGATAACAATAACCATGCATAATTTGCGACTACCTTGTTCCCCGGACCGTAGCAAGGAGCTTGGGAATCCAAATTGCTGTCGAACGCATCCCAGACAACTCGAACCATATTGCGCGCGTACTGGAACCCACCCGACCACCTCGTCGCCGCCATCCCTTTCCCCAGCAAAAGCAAGTCCACACGTCTCTTGAAGGACCTCACGCGTAGGGTCTGCAAGCAACGTCTGACATCGTACAAAAAGAAGAAAACCGCACCAACTCTCGACGGCGACGATCTATACCTCCAAACCAGTACGCACGTCGCACGAGGACTCCTTCCCTCAGATGGATTGGCTGACCAATGAATAGGTCGGATGGACCACAACGACCGGCTTGCAAGCGGGCGACTACCAGCTCCTCACGCACAGTTCATCTCCACGAACCAGATGACCTCGGTGAGTACAGCAAACCCTCAGTCTACCACTCCTCACCATATCAAGTAGGCGTCTTCATCCGCAATCGTCGAAACGTCATACCCGCTCGTTCGGGCAGGAAAGCGATCTCGATCCATTTCCGTGACAGAGGAACGCCATACGAAACGTCGTCGCGTGGCGGATGAATCTCGAAGAGAAAGGAGGACCAAGGTTGGCGGTGCCCTGGGCGATCTCAAATTTCTGCAGGGGCAGAAGGGCAATGTGCTCGTGCTCGTGGCGGCGATGCAGCAAGGCATCAATCGCATGGAGAACGGTCTTGTGGATCTAGTAGTGAGGGGCGAGCGAGCTCGCCAACGGGGCTACTCCCATACGGGTTCCACAACTTGCGATGGGTCCACCGGAGTCAGCTTGTGAGTATTGCCTGTCGTTCTCGCCTTACTCCCGTCTCATGGCTATGGATGTAGGCTCCCGGGGGGAGACTCCAACTTATCCCAGCGACTGGAATCACAACAAGAGCTCACGAATCTAGGGACTTCCGACATCCATGCTCGCACATCCGAGACGACCAGTGTGCATCGCATTCGCGTCCGAACACATCCGGAAGACTATTCGCGCGATGAACTCGCGTCGCTATATCGCGCCCACATCGATGCTCCTCCAGTCCCCTGTACTTGTCGACGGACCGCGCTACAGCAGGGACGGATCAAGGACACAACGTATGTGCGCCCCCGCCCCCGCATCGGCGTGGATGTACAGGGAATAGCTTTTGAAGACTGGACCTCCAATTCGACGCTCTTGAAGAAGGAGCAACTCCTCCGGATGCGCTCGACCTCCAGCATATACGCCGATGTCACACCTGACGCCGATGTTTTCCCGGCACGGATCTGGCCCCGATGCCCCAGGGCACCGTCGACAGGTTTTATCCTTCAATTTCGACATATACCTCCTGGCGTTTCTGATCGTCTGGAAACGTGGCACATCGAGAGGGGACGCTGTTTGACCTGCATAGCGAGGGCGATGCGCACCTTCCCTCCATGGATCATCAAATTCACTCCTTTCAACGTGACGATAGAAGACGGGGATCCTGTATTCATGAACGATAGGCAGGACGAACTGGTCGAGTGGGATGAAGAACGGAAGCGTTGGCGCCACCTTGTCTTTGATCACTATCGATGGCTTCCTGTTGAGGAACTGGAGGAGAGACCGAGCGACCGCACCGCCGACGCCCAGATCGTCAATGGATTATATAACACACCTGTCCCTGATTCCTATACGGTTGCTTACTGGCGGATAATTGATACGTGACGATAAGTACGTATCGCGCGCTCATCTGCATTGCCATGACAAAGCACCGACAGCTCTTGTGTTCAGCGTTCACAATTGTGCCGCCCTAGCTTACCTGTGCCTTGCTTTATTGGTTATGAAGAGGTGTATGTAATAATGTTCCGAGGCCCCTCAGAGCCCTTCGACTTGTACGGTGCGCCAGCCCGAACCCCTAGATACGGTTAGTGCCGTGCTGTTGACGGCGCCGAAACTTCATGCAGCGTGCCATTCGATAGGCCGTGCACAGCTCGTAAACAAAGCCCGTCACTGTGAAGAATTCGGTTGCCTTGTCTCGAGTGCTTGTCTGTAGCTCGTGCATATGCATGCAGTAACTCCGACGGTGGTTATTGTCCGTGAACCCGTTTCGCCACCTTGGACAAAGCACCACCACGAAAATGCATAAAACGGTTCGTTGCTGGTGTTCTACGGATTATTGAGACGTTCTCGCCCCCCTACCCCCCCTCATGGACCGATCTCAGAGTGCACACCTTTCCTTCGAGGACCCCGCGGTGTTTGCTCGGCATGCGTCTAGCATACACGAGCTTCGTGAGCAAGGCTGGGCTTTTTTCCAGTCCACGGTCAAGAGCCGCTCGCACCTGCTCCTTGATAACTCGGCGAAAACATGGGGATTATGTTATTCGACTTCCGATCGGACTCTCGATACTCGAGTTGAAGACAACGGTTAGCATCGTTGAGAAAAGATGGTGCTCATCGCTGACAAGCTAGCATGTGACAGGTAGACTTGATGCATGCCCTGTTGAGCAAAATCCTTTTGCCACGGTGTCGCTCGTGAAAGACACCTCGGGAGACGTCGAACAGTCAGATGCTTGCACGGAGATTTCATGCGATAGCCTCGAGGTCGAAGTCTACGTACGTCCTGTGATCCTTGTAATCATGAACCATCTTCCCTGACAACTTCAACAGATAAATGGAGCGCATCTCATACCTGGAGAGCCACGCAAACTCCAATCCAATGACGTTGTTCGGTTCAATGGTGCAGGTGGGTAGGCATATCATTAGTCGTGTTTGCGGGCTCTTAATCGTTGGTATCTTGAAGAGTACATCTATCGGCACTTAATTGGTGCTCAAGATACGCCCTACGGTGTCGAGGCCGAACGGTACGATGTCCGCGAACCCATAGCGGTCGGAGAGTCAGCACCAAGTACTGTGTATACCGATTGCATGACATTCAAACACTGACAGTTTTCCCAGGCCGTTGGATCGCAAAGCACTTGAAAACCCGCCAGGCTGTCGTCGTCAAGCGTATCACGGTACCGACTAGAAGGCTCGACGAAGTTGCATCTAATATCAGGATATGCGACGAGCTCCGCCACCGGAACATTGTGTCCCTGTTTGACTGCTATATGCATCCCGAGGATCTTCAGCGCCCCGAGAGACGAATCAGTAAGCGATGCGCGCGGCAGGTGGTCTCGTTGAGGACTTACGCTACCTATCATCGTCAGGCATTGTGACGTCGTTCACTCCTCACGGAAATCTACACGACTTCATCACAGTAGGCAATGGAAAACTCGGTGGGTGCCTCTCCATGCTTTCTTTGCGACTGCTGCTGACTCTCTTTGACTTCAGGTGAAACTCTTTCTCGACCCGTCATGGCCCAACTCATGGATGGGCTGATGGTGAGGGACACGCGCGTATCGATGATGATTGCGATTGACTGACTCTCATATGTTAGTATATGCATGATCAAGGCATACTCCACTGCGACATGAAGCCTGAGGTTAGTATTGTGGCTATCGTGCGTCTGGCTGACTGACAGTAGAGCCGCTCAGCATGTCCTCGTATACGGTTTGGGCTCAGCTGGTCCCATAGTCAAAATCAGTGGTCTCGGGCTCGCCACGCGCTCTGGGAAGAATGACGGTAGGGAGCTCAGTCCATCTCTTCGTCGGGCGATGATGAAGAGCGCCGCATGGGCTCCACCTGAATCGCTGAACTATGAGCATACGGAGCTCAGCGATGCCTTCAGCTTAGGAGCCATCATGTTTTTCATGTGAGCCGTTTGCACGCGTTCCTTCGTCCATGGCGCTTACCACGTTCTTCCGGGAAGCCACTGGGGTAAGCCGCTTTATGACATAGAAGGAGGCATGTTCTTCGAAGAAATCATGCAACGGAGGCGCACGAATTTCACTAAATTACGGAGGCAGATGATGAGCTCCAACGGTAATCCATCATCCTTGTTTGTCCACGCATAATGCTGATAGATTCTTCCTTTGCAGCATGTGACCTCATCGAAAGCCTTACGAAGGTGTCCATGAGCGAACGAATTGGCTTACGCGAAGCGCGACGACACGCCTGGTTCAACGGATGTCAAGTCCCCCCTCCATTCTCTGCTCAATACCAGTACGACGACCCACTGGTTCAAGAATTTATCGCTAGAGGCGGGAGACCTGCCGTTAGCAACCATGACCCCGTCAACAAGAACGGTCTTCTGGACTTCAGCGACTGCTTCTCCGCCGACAGCGATTCTCTGTTCGATGCCGGCCTTATCTCCGAGAGCGAATTCGAGGCGCGCCGGGGGCTTGAATGGGATGTTCTGGATTCTCTCGTAAATTCCACTTTCTTGGAGTCTGAGGGCTACTTTGGCGCGCTTGCTAGCGAAATATCCCCGGAACCAAGCTCCTCGCTCGCCACGATCTGTGTCATCCCGATCACTGGAGCACAGGCTTGTGAACCCGTCATAACCGCGGGGGCGCCGTCGTTCGTCGAGCCGGAACGTTACGACTACGAAGAAACAGACGTTAAAGGCTGGGATCCCGTGAGCGAAACCTTCGTTTCCTTGGCCGACAAACCCAACCGGCGCGGACCGCGGGTCTAACCTATTGGGTGGACTTATCGCCGGACCCGGTGAACACGGCGGCGAAGGCACTGGCACGCGGTAGCGTCCCTCTTGCAGACGTGAGGTACCTGGGAACTCGGCAGTCTGGATCGGCGAAGCCAACGTTGAAACGCGGGGATCTTGGGAATAATGACGAGGTGCTCGGGATGGATATGGATCTAATTTTTTTCTTGCAAATTATGCTCTATGTTATGCAACGGAAACATCTCCTTTCCATTGCAAGTAAGACTAAGAAGACGTGGCTATACGAAAGTACCCCATGGACGCAAATACTATGGATGTACCATCAATGCAATAGTGTACCATCAATGCAATCGGTCTGAAATCTCGTCACTGCGGGGCTCCTCTCATCCTAATCCCTACATATTAAATTGATTGCATATACAGTACTATCTAATGATATGTGCCAAAGGAACAGAGCGAAGCATTAGGGGATGGGCCTACAGAAAATGCGCAATGTCGTTTGGGGAACCATCCAAGCATGCTCTAGCATGAAGACACGGCTCGGCTCAAGGGATCGGAACTAATAAATATCTGAATATATTCAAGTATACTCTATACTATACAGAAGGTACGTCTGTAAATCCCGATACGTGATATCTGCAACTTTGTGCTTGCTATGCAAGGATTACTGGCGGAGGTGCCATGAATGCAATTGAAGCTCCGCTTTAAATGCTGACAAAGCAAGGTCAGATTGCAGGAGCTCCCCTCCAGAAGGTCGCGGCCTCGGCTTCTCGGCCTTGGGGGATCCGTTGTGCAATCTGCAGAGTCATCGACACGTCCTACCGGCATCGCTCTGGCAAGGCATCCCGCGTACCAAAATATTTGAGGCTTGACATATAGCTGCTACATGGTTTTGGCTACCATATGATCTAGTTTCTGGATGGATTGGCAATGAAATGTCGATTTTGAACCATCAGTGCAATCGAAATTGCATTGATGGTACATCCATAGTACGGTCAAGAAAAGAATGTGGTACCACCTCGCCGGAGATTCAAGGGTGTTCTCGGCAGGTCCGAAGCCCGGAAAACGTGCGTCGGCCCAGACGCCGCGTTTTCCCAGTCTTCGAACGATATCCAGCGGTGATGGTGCAAGACCATATGCCGCCATCGCCTCTCCTCCCCGTCCCACTCCAGGAGCGCGGTATTGTTCGATCTGACGAAGACGAGGTCCCCGTTCTCCGAAGGGTCCTTGCTGACCGACGCGTGCGCCGTCCACGGCGGCAACGTACGCATCGCCTCCGCCACGCAGTACTTGCATCGGTTCCAGCGGTTCAGCTCCGCGAGCGAGTCGCGCGATAGGTCGTTCAAGTGCGCGTACCGCGTCCGATCGGGATATCGCGTGCGGGTCGGCGGTTGCAGCAGAGGCGCGGGCGTCGCGTGGAAGCCGCCGGAAAAGGCTTTGGCGGGGCGCGACGGGTGGAAGCGCAGGTCGAGCCGGAGTTTCTTCTCCGCGCTCGTGCAGCGGAGCGGATGGCCGTTGACGGTGCGCTGCGCCTCGGGCGAGCACGCGCTCCAGTCGTCGAAGGCGTGGCCTTGGGCATCTACGCCGATACGTGGACGGGGCGTGGCTAAGGGCGCCCTGTCGGAGTCTGCGTCGCGTCGGTGCAGGACGGGCGGGCATGTGCAGCATGTCGCGTCCTCGCCGGGAAAGAAGCCGAGCAGAGCGCGGTAGTAGCAGTGGAGCTTAGCATCCATGCCGTCACTGGGCGCGGTACCCTGGGCGATAGTGGATTCGATCTGTTTGAGCGCGGCGACTATTGTCTTGAGGTCGGCCTCTGGTTCACCGGTCCGGACTGTTAAGGGTGTTTCCAAGTGCGCGTTAGTTTTCCCGAGTGTGGAGCCATCCCGACATCCGTAAGGGCGGGCGACAATCCGTGAGGGAAGAGCGTGCATGCTGGGAGCGTCAAGTCTGTCGAGGTTGTTTGCCAGGGCCCGAATGCGAGCCAGAGCGCACACTGTTGCTTTCTCTGTCTTTTCTGAGAGATCTCGGAACTTCTCCACCTCGTTCCGTGTCCACGTCTCACCAGCCGCCGGTAGATTATTGACGTCGTTCACGGCTACGCGGCGACGCTTTCGACATCGCTCAGCCACCCTAGCATCCGGAGACTGCGATCGTTTGCGCGACGACCGCCGGAGTTGGGGAGCGGGAAATCTGATCCTCATTTGTTCGCCTTGGGAGTTATTTCTCGGAGGAGTGGCGACTCTAGACCCTTTTGGAGGAAGGCCAAGACTAAGGGCGGCGGTGACGCTGCCTGCACAACGTGATGAGGAAGGGGACCGATAGCACGCGGATAATGGGGCTCACTGCACAATTTAAGAAGGTTCCTCGTCTTACCATGAAGGCCAGAGCCCAGTGCGGAGACAGGGTGTTCGGACGGTTCAGCAGCGCCGTGCCCGTTGAGATCATCGTTAAATCTCGTCCGAAGTTGCTGAAAGCCGCTCTCCATATCTGCCGAAGTTCCGAGTTGTGCTAGTACCACGGTCGTATATTCGAGTAGGTTGGGTAGCGTTCCTCAGGTTTCGCGCTGGTAAAGGTGTTTTGGCTATGCGATTAAGAGACGCGCATACGAGTTCACTGTTCGAGCCACTGAGATAAAAATAGCTCGCATGGCAAGTTCATTTTGCCACGCCACCGGCCATATCCGAACGTTTTCCCTCTGAGCTCTCAGATCTCAGTTCATGCCGCGCTCGTCTCGAGTACTTCTGACTGCAGAATCTGATGCATATACACTGTACACGGATCTGCCTACTACGGAGGTGCTGTCTAAGCAATCCTCATCACGCCCTCTCTCGATGGCCGTGGCCCATTGGGGCGCATGTTCGATTCTGACGTGAGTCTCGCGGCGAACGACAGTACTTGCCGATCGATTGTACGGCTGTATCTGGTTTATACTGTGGTGCATGCGAGGCGCGCTTGATAGTTGCAACGGGACTTTCGATTTGTCTCCGGGAGCGGCCGTCGACAGGCGCACAGCGTGGTCTGCACGTATGCTCTCAAGCCATACAAACACATTTGCTGTGTCTGCTGATCCTGGCAATCATTCTGTGGATACGAGGTGGCCAGGTTATCGCGCAGTGTGAGGGAGGTTGGAGTGACGGATCGTACAAGATCGAAGCGAGGTCGTTTCCTGTTTTGGTGAGTGATTCCTTGGCTTCTTCGTGAGTGAGCTGACCGTTCCTCCATCATCAGGAGGTCCACCTTCTCGATGACGGAACGACCAGGCCACGACGCGAACGGAAGTTCTCAAGTTCAATCATATGTACAGTCGATGCGGCTTGTCGCGGCAAGGTCATGCAGCGACACTCGTGGGCCACCAGCCGTGTCTTCGCTGGCCAAGGTTGGGCTTCGAAGTAAGCATACACGCAGTGCTGCATTCATAGTTCTCACCTCCTGCATGGGTTAGGTGCATATGACGCCCTATGGCGTTGCGCCCTTGGATCACCTCGCCGGCCCGGCGCGCACTTCAGCGTCGTCGTGATATCGAGCGCTTCTTCATGCTTCCTACGCCCGTGCGAGCAGCTGCTTCGGTGCGCTCGGGAACACGAGCGCGCCCAAGCCGGGCCACGGGACCATCTCGTTCGATGCCATGGACGTTCTTAAAGCCGTCCCGGCGCTGAGCGGTGAAATCTCCATCCCAAGCGACAACGGCAAACGCGATGGTCGCATTGGTGTCATCTGCAGCGGCTCTCCTGCTCCTATCCGCCACAGTTCTGCTCGTTGACGGCCGAGAGCTCTCGTCACTACAACGAGGTCTGTACGCCCAATCTCCTACGCTCGACAGTCGAGGTGTCACCCATTCGCTGAATGTTTCCACCTGTCCCGGCTACGCCCTCGCCGGATTGACGGAGAGCGCGTCTGGGCTGACGGCGAAGCTCAACCTCGCGGGTACGGCCTGCAACGCATTCGGGACCGACTTTGCGAACTTGACGATCAGCGTCACCTACGAAACGCAAACGAGGTACCGTATCTCTTCTGTCCTTTTCCCTGTCGCAGCGAGCCGACAGGGAACCGCAGGTTACACGTCTCCATCGCCGACAGCAACAGCTCCAACTTTGTCGTCCCAGATTCCGTCATCCCCCGCCCTTCTGGCACGCACCCCAAAGAATCCTCGGATCTGGTCTTCAACTACGACTCCTCCCCTTTCGCCTTTTGGATCACCCGCCGCTCATCCCCTGACGCTACCCCGCTCTTCGACACTCGTACATCATCGCTCCCGCAGACGCCCATCCCGCCCGTCGTCGCTGGAGACACCTCCACCGCATTGGATGGATTCCCGCTGGTCTTCGAAGACCAGTACCTGCAACTTACCTCAGCATTACCTAAAGGCGCGAACATATACGGCCTCGGGGAAATCATCGCGTCCGCCGGTATCCGACGCGACGTCGGCATCGATGGAGATGGAAACCCGACGAACGGCACGATCCAGACCATGTGGGCGCGCGACGCCGGGGACCCTATCGACCAGAACGAGTACGGCGTGCACCCGTTCTACATCGAACAGCGCTACGACGCAGACGCATCCTCCTCCTCGTCCCACGGCGTGTTCCTCGCCTCCGCCGCCGGCTCGGACATCCTCCTCTCCACCCCGCCCGGATCGAACGTCTCCCTGATCGAGTACCGCCTCCTCGGCGGCATCCTCGACTTCTACTTCCTCTCCGGGCCCGACCCCATATCCGTCGCCGAGCAGTATTCGGAAATCGTCGGCACGCCGACGTGGCAGCCGTACTGGGCCTTCGGCTTCCACCTCTGCCGCTGGGGCTACGCGAGCACGAACGAGACCAAGGAGCAGGTCGCGGCCATGCGCGCCGCCAACGTCCCGCTCGAGGTGATGTGGAACGACATCGACCTCTACCACGCCCGGCGGGACTTCACGTCCGACCCGGTGTCCTTCCCCGGCGACGAGGAGCGCGCGTTCATCGAGGAGCTCCACGAGAACCACCAGCGGTACATCGCGATCGTCGACGCGGCCGTCGCGCACACCGCGAACGCCACCGACGTCTACGACCCTTACACTTCGGGCGCGGAGAGGGACGTGTTCGTCAAGAACCCTGACGGGAGCGAGTACGTGGGGCAGGTGTGGCCCGGCTATACGGTGTTCCCGGACTGGTTCAGCGAGGGCGCGGCGGGCTGGTGGACGGAGGCGCTCCGGAACTGGACGGACGGCGGGGTGACGTTCGACGGATTGTGGCTCGACATGAACGAAGTGAGCTCGTTCTGTACCGGCAGCTGGTAAGCGTGGCCCTTCCCATCTCCGTAGCGGATCCCGTTTTTCTTCCCGCGACTGACGACGGAAATGGGGGCGGGCGTGACAGCGGATCGGGCGTCGATTTCTCCACAGACGCGAGCTCGCACGAGCGCCGAGCGACGACGCCGGGCCTAGGCGCCGGCGAGGAGCAGGACGTCGACGTCAACGATCCGCCGTATACCATCCACAACGGTGCGTTTGTTTGTTCGCCGAGCGCCCCCGCCCTTCCCCCCCCCCCCCCCTAACTAATAACGACTTGGATAACGTCGTGCAGGCAACGGCGGGCTGTCAATCAGCACGATCGCGACGAACGCGACGCACGCCAACGGCTTCGTCGAATACGACACGCACAACATGTGGGGCACGATGGAAGCCATCGCGTCGCACAAGGCGTTACTCGATATTCTTCCTGGTGCGATATCTCGACCTCCGCCGCGTCTCTTCGATGGCACCTTTTCTCTGATGTTTTCGATCGTGTGGTTAGGAAAACGTCCGTTCATCATCGGCAGGTCGACGTTTGCCGGCGCAGGACGCTGGGAAGGCCACTGGCTCGGGGACAACTACAGTTTATGGAGCTACATGCGTTACGCTATCCAGGGTGTGTTGCAGTTCCAGATGTTCCAAGTACCGATGGTTGGTCCGGACACCTGTGGCTTCAGTGAGTGTGCTTCCATGATCTCAACTTCCTGTGTCGTGGGGCTGATGGAATTGCTGGTGGATAGATGATAATACCACCGAACAGTGAGCTATGACGATAACCCAACGGAAATCAGGCGAGGCTTTACTTAAGTGTGCATTGTATAGGCTTTGCAACCGCTGGATGCAGCTCTCCGCGTTCTTCGTGCGCCGCCGCCCATTCGCTCGCAATGTTTATCTTGTGCTTGACATTTCTGTTGGACGATGACAGCCGTTCTACAGAAATCATAATACGATTGGCGCCCTCTCGCAAGAACCGTATCGCTGGGAAAGCGTTGCCAACGCGTCGCGCACGGCCATCGCCATCCGCTATGCCCTCCTCCCCTACTGGGTACGTACACCCCTCCCTCGTCCTCTATTCCGTTGCCGACGGTACCACCACGCATAGTATTCGCTTTTCGCCAACGCGTCGACGCGCGGTACGCCACCCCTGCGCCCGCTCGCCTTTGCCTTCCCGGACCAGCTCTCCCTCGCCGGTAACTCGGACCAATTCGTCATCGGAGGCGACCTCCTCGTCACGCCCGTCCTCGAAGAGAACGCCACCTCGGTCACGGGCGTCTTCCCTTCCGGCGCGGTCTGGCGCGACTGGTACACCCACGAGGTCGTGAACGTGTCCGCGGACGGGACGGCCACGCTGGACGCGCCGCTGGGGCACATCAACGTCCACGTCCGAGACGGCGCGGCGATACTGCTGCATGCGGAGCCCGGGTATACGACCAACGAGACGCGCGAGGGTCCGTTCGAGCTGCTCGTGGTGCAGGCGGCGGACGGCTACGCCCAAGGCGAGGCGTACATCGACGACGGGATCAGCGTTCAGCCAACCCCCAGCAAGGTACGTTACGTCCCTCCCTTTCTGTATGTCTGGCAGGGAAGTGACGGCCGACGGTTTTTGCTAGACCGTCAAGTTTGCGGCGACGGAGGGAAAGCTCACGATCGGTCCCGAGGGCGACTACGACATCGCGCAGAAGTTGACGCGCGTGACCATCCTCGGCGTGCCGGGCTTGGCGAGCAACGTGACGGTCAAGGTCGGCGGGCAGGAGGCGCCGCAAGCGTCGGTCGCCGTCGACGCCGGTCTTCGACGGATCGTAGTGGACGGGTTGGAGCTCGATCTGAACGAACACCTAACGATTGCCTGGTCTTAACCAGGGATAGCCGAGGAGTGCGCGTTCGAGTAAGCGGAAGATGTACGCACGAGATGATCAACATGTTGAATGCTCCGAGTTCCACTTTAGAGTGTACCATGAAACGAGGACGAGAATCTTGACTTGCGATGACGGTATTTCGAGGGTGCAGCATAGGGCATATAAGCATAAGGTTCCATATGGAAAAGCATACATATTCATAACATAACATCATAGTTCTTCAAAGCCGAGAGGAGACCGCGTCGTTCGTGGAAGAGAATCAGAGGTCGCTGCGCCAGACCGATCATAATATGGCTCCGGTGGTCCGTGCTTTGCCGGGATCAATGTACCCCTGCCCTTGGAGGTCGACGGTCTCCGTATCGCCAAGCATGAATAGCTGGCCGTTGAAGTCGACGTCGCCCGTAACGACCGCCTTGCCGCGGACCACGACTTTGCCATGGATGACCAGTTTGCCCGTGTTGCGGACGGTAAGGCCTTTCAAGAAGATTGTGTCGCCGCATACAGTCGGTTCGGACGTGCCGCACCTGGAAGGTCCCGCGGAGAGCTCCGTCTGAAACGCGTGGTCCCAGCCATAGCGCTCCAGCATCTGTAGGGAGCGCGCGCGGGCGCGAGCTGGAACGTCCTCCGGCCCTTCTGCTTCTTCCTCGCAGTCCACATCGGTCGTCATCCAGCCCTGGCCGCGGTTGATCGCGACGTCGCCGTGGACCAGCAGGTCCCGGTTGAAGTCGACGTCACCGTTGACCTCCAGCTCGCCTTCGACAACGAAGGGGCCGAACACCGTCACGTCGCCGCGGATCACCCTGAGCTCGTTATCGACCACGACCTTGCAGCGCCGATAGCGCCTGGCCCGGCGGATCCGTCGAGCCACGTAGCTCGCCGTGCGGTGCGTCCTCTGGATGCCGACGCGCCTCTGCTTGAGCTTACGATGGCGTCTCGGGCGGCTGGCGGATATTTCGCCGTCGCTTCGATATTGATCCACGAAGGAACGAATCTGCACCGCTAGACAAGGGAAGACACTTCAGACGCCTAGGAAAGAGGGGGAAAAACGTAAGCGCATACCATTCCATCGTTTCGGCATCGAAGAGGATACAGGCAGGCCACCGGCAGCTGCAACATCCTCGTTGACCTAGGCACAGATGAGCATACGTATCTCGAGACAAAAAAGACCTCGCACTTACGCCGGAGCCGACTTCGACGCTATGTTGCACTGTTCTCGCTTCGGAATTTTGAATCCCGTGAACTACTGTGCCAAAGGTCAGCTTCCGCGTTGAACCTACCCACAACCCCACTTTATGCACTTACCCGTATGCGGCATGAGAAGCCATCTGGCGTAGTTCTTGACGAGGCCGGGATCGGCTGAACCCTGAGGATGCTGAGAGTCGACGAGGAAGGGACACCGAGTGTAGCTCATAGTGTCGACGGTTGGGTACGGAGGCGGTCGAATCGGCGAATGCGGGTACGACTTTTGCAACGGAGAGGGATCACCTCGCCCTTTTTATACGTGCGGTCGACGCCAACGTCGCTTTGGTGAGTGTCCAACCGTCCGCTTCATGCCCCGCGTAGCTTTGTCGTGGTCGCGGTCGCGGTCTCGAAGGGGGTGTCGAACAATGGCCACCGTAGGCTCACTTGTCGTGTCGGAGCTGGAAAAGCATCGAAGGGATCGGCGCTCCCTTCCGAGACATATTGCAGTCTAAACGATAAACCCCAGGTGGTCGCGCCCCATAAGCCCCAGACGCGATTACTCTGTTCGACAGAGGGTTATATACATTAATCGGTAGGGCATGCGAGCGTCCGAGTCGATAGCCGGTCATCGTGGTCTCGCGCGTACAGAGAAAGCGCGCTAAACTCGATCGGGACGAAGTGTCGACGTCAAGCTCAAGCGCCCTAACAGCCACACGCGCCTTGGTGGCTTAGATAGCGATGCGTTTTTTGTCTCGAGAAAAAAATAAGCGTTGACGACACGATCGTCGAACAATGCCGCGAGGCGATGAAGGGCATCCAACGAAGCACTTTCCAGTGCCTTCCTCCCCACACCAAGCTATGCGAACTGGGAAAGACGACACAGCACGCCTTTCTCATCCATTTCTTCAACGACTACCACGATCGTTTTTCTACACACCGTGAATCTCAGATTGCAGACTGGGACCGCAAGAGCAAACGCGGCCGGCCAACACATCCTTTTTTTTTCACTGCGACTCTTCTATCGGAGCGAACTCAGGACCAGGTGATCGTCTGCGCCCGGTTGAGGTCGAGCTCCAACCCGCTCACGACGACCTTCTGCAGCCCGGCGTCGACCGACACGTGCGCCGCCTTCTTCCCGCCGACCTCGACCGACGACGCGTGCGGCGCGCCGAGGATCGTGACCCGCGTCAGCTTCGGCGCGATCTCGTACTTGCCCTCGGGCTTGACCGTCAGCTTGCCGTGCGACGCCACGAACTTGACGGTCTAAAGGGAACAAAAAAAACCCCTCATGTCAGCTTTTTCTGTGTGTGTGACGAGGAGAGAAAGAGAGAAAGAAAAAAAAAGGGGGGGGAGGGGGAGGAGGAGGAGGAGGAAGGAGAGAATGAGAGAATGAGAGAAGGTTGGGAGGGGGGGGTAAACCCGGTTTTATTTTTATTTTATTACCTTGCTCGGGGTGGGCTGCACGCTGATCCCGTCGTCAACGTACGCCTCTCCCTGCGCGTGCCCGTCCGCGGTGAGCACGACCAACAGCTCGTACGGGCCCTCGCGCGTCTCGGTCGTCGTATACCCCGGCTCGGCGTGCAACAACATCGCCGCGCCGTCCCTCACGTGCACGTTGATATGCCCCAGCGGCGCGTCCAGCGTCGCCGTCGCCGTCCCGTTCCCGTCCCCATTCACGTTCATGTTCACAAGCTCGTGGGTGTACCAGTCGCGCCAGACGGCGCCGGCGGGGAAGACGCCCGTCACGGACGTCGCGTTCGGCTCGAGGACGGGCGTGACGAGCACGTTCGGGCCGACCAGGAACTGGTCCGAGAGGCCGGCGAGCGCGGGCTGGTCCGGGAAGGCGAACGCGAGCGGGCGCACGGGCGGCGTACCGCGCGTCGACGCGTTGGCGAAAAGCGAATACTGTGGGGCGTGAAAATAAGTATTTACCCGTCAACGACACGGAAATAGAGGATGAAGGGAGGGAGGGAGGGGGGAGGTGAGGTGAGGTGTGTACGTACCCAGTAGGGGAGGAGGGCGTAGCGGGTGGCGATGGCCGTGCGCGACGCGTTGGCGACGCTGTCCCAGCGGTAGGGCTCCTGCGAGAGCGCGCCGAGCTCGTTGTGGTTCCTGTAGAAGGGCTGGTATGGGTGTCAGCTTCCGGTATCAAAGCGTGCAAAAAAAGAAGAGGAAGGAACGCACGAAGAAGGCAGAAAGCTGCATCCAGCGGTTGCACAACCTGTATAATCAAACCGCGGGTCAGTAACCCGCTTTCCTCCCCCCTCTCTCCTCACGCCAGCATCAAACGTACTCTTCATCGGTGTTGCCGTCTACGCGACGATCCCGCCGTTAATAGCGCACGCAGAGGAACCGAGAGAGCTCAACGCACTGAAGCCGCAAGTGTCAGCGCCGACCATGGGCACCTGGAACATCTGGAACTGGAGCACGCCCTGGATCGCGTACCGCATATAACTCCACAAACTAAAGTTATCGCCGAGCCAGTGGCCCGTCCAGCGTCCGGCTCCGGCGAACGTCGACCGGCTGATGATGAACGGCCGTTTTCCTGATAAGCAAAAAAAAAAAAAAGGTGTGAGCACACGATGGAGAGAGAGAGAGAGAGAGGTACCGGGAAGGATGTCGAGCAACGCCTTGTGCGACGCGATGGCCTCCATCGTGCCCCAGAGGTTGTGCGTGTCGAGCTCGACGAAGCCGCCGGCGTGCGTCGCGTTCGTGGCGAGCGCGTGGAGCGACAGCCGGCCGTTCCCGTTGTGGATCGCGTACGGCGGCGCGTTGAGCTCGACGTCGGGCTGCCCGCCCGCGCCCAATCCCCTCCGCTTCTTCTCATCCTTCTTCCTCTCCTTCTTCTCATCCTTCTTCTCATCCTTCTTCCTCTCCACCAGATCGGCGCGCTCGGTGAGGGCGGCGGAGAAGGACGAGGTGGCGTTGCAGGTGAGGGTGCCGTTGACGGTGATGTTCCCGCTCGGTCCGAACCGGTCGACGTCGTAGCATTCGGGGTAGGTCGAGACCGGGTTTCCGGGCACGCCGGGGAGGAGGAACGGCGTGCTCGTGTTCGAAATGTCGATGCCCGTGCCGCTTTTAAACGAAAAAAAAACGACAACCACGAATGTCAGCCCGACGAACTTATCACAGAGAGAGAGAGACCAGAGGGGGGGGGGGAAAGAAGTAACCGCGCACCAGCTTCCGTCGCAGAACGAGCTCGCCTCGTTCATGTCGAGCCACAATCCGTCGAACGTCACCCCGCCGTCCGTCCAGTTCCGGAGCGCCTCCGCCCACCAGCCCGCCGCTTCCTCGCTGAACCAGTCCGGGAACACCGTATAGCCCGGCCACACCTGCCCCACGTACGCGCTCCCGTCCGGGTTCTTGACGAACACGTCCCTCTCCGCGCCCGAGGTGTACGGGTCGTAGACGTCCGTGCCGTTGTTCACGACGTGCGCCACGGCGGCGTCGACGATCGGGACGTACCGCTGGTGGTCCGCGTGCAGCTCCCGTACGAAGGCGCGCATCTCCGCTCCAGGGAAGGAGACGGGGTCGGACGTGAAGTCGCGGAAGGCGCGGTAGACGTCGATGTCGTTCCACATCACCTCGAGCGGGATCCCCGCCGCGCGCATCGCCGCCACCTGCTCTTTGGTCTCGTTCACGCTCGCGTAGCCCCAGCGGCAGAGGTGGAAGCCGAAGGCCCAGTAGGGCTGCCACGTCGGCGTGCCGACGATCTCCGAGTACTGCTCGGCGACGGAGAGGGGGTCCGGGCCGGAGAGGAAGTAGAAGTCGAGGGTGCCGCCGAGGAGGCGGTATTCGATCAGGGAGACGGGCGAGCCGGGCGGGGTGGCGAGGAGGACGTCCGAGCCGGCGGCGGAGGCGAGGAACACGCCGTGCGCTTCCGATTTCGACTCGCGCTCAGATTGGGACGAGGAGGAGGAGGAGGAGGAGGAGGAGGGATCGGGATAGCGCTGCTCGATGTAGAACGGGTGGATCCCGTACTCGTTCTCGTCCACCGGGTCCGCGATGTCGCGCGCCCACATGGTCTGGACCGTGCCGCGGGTGGGGTTGCCGTCGGCGTCGACGCCGACGTCGCGCCGGACGCCGGCGGAGGCGACGACCTCGCCGAGGCCGTAAATGTTCGTGCCTTTAGGTAATGCCGAGGTAAGTTGCAGGTACTGGTCCTCGAAGACGAGGGGGAAGCCGTCGAGCGCGGTGCTGTTGTCGCCCGCGACGAACGGCGGGAGGGGCGTAGCGGGGAGGGAGGAAGGGCGGGTGTCGAAGAGCGGGGCGGCGTGGGCGGGCGCGGAGCGGCGGGTGATCCAGAAGGCGAAGGGGCGCGGGTGGTAGTGGAAGACGAGGTCGGAGGCGGGTTTGGGGTGCGTGCCGTGCGGGCGGGGGAGGACGGAGTCGGGGACGACAAAGTTGGAGCGGTTGGCGTCCGCGATGGAGACGTGCAGTCTAGGTCCGCCCGTTCAGACTCGGGCTGCTGCGAGGTGGTGTTTTTGTGAGATTCTTACCTCGTCTGCGTCTCGTAGGTGACGCTGATGGTCAGGTTGGCAAAGTCGGTGCCGAACGCGTTGCACGCGGGGCCGGCGAGGTCGAGCTGGGCCGTCAGTCCGTGCTCGCTCTCCCTGAGCGCGGTGAGGGCGTATCCCGGGCAGGTCGACACGTTGAGCGAGTGCGGCACGTCGCGGGATCCGAGCGCGCGCGAGGGGCCGTAGAGACCGCGTTGGAGCGCGGAGAGCTCGCGGCCGGCGGCGGTGGCGAGGAGGAGGAGAAACGCGGCGCAGGCCGCGAAGACGGCCATGGCGAGCAGCACCGTCGAGCAAGGGCGGGGTGGGCGGGTCGGCGACGAGGCCGCGTGCTCGCCGTGTCCCATGGATTTATGTGTCGCCCGAGTGCCTGGCATCACGTCCGGCGGTCCCGTGGTCCGCACCTGAGCGCATTACCGTCGCCGAGGGCGCAGAAGCAGCGGCCGTCGGTCACGCGCGCCCCAGGAAGAAGGCGGAGAAGCGCGGAGAAGAATGCGCGTGGGCGCGTGGGAAGAGCGGTCCCCGACGCGGGGGATCGCGCGATCGCACGTCGGAAGTCGGGTCCCCAAGCCGGATTGGGACGGGTACGCGACGTCATGGGTGTCCTTAGACCACGACTGTGGTGAGAATCCGATCCAGCTGTAGCCGGAGGATGCCAGGGTATTGTCCTTGCTCTCGATTCATCACTCCGTGTTTCCGGAGCGCCCTGTATAATACATCGTGGTAGACGGCAACTCGTACATAACGTCAAGACAGCACTTCGAGCGGGACTATTATGTACCACCTTTCGTGAGTACCATCAAGGTCATCGAGAATGAAACACCTCATGGTCGTCACGCATTGCTTCTCAGCTCAAGCAGTTACCCAGCAGAGGCAGCGGAACAACGAGCCGCAGAGCATCGACACCGAGATACGAACGTCGCTTGCACAAATCGATATGTATCTTGATGGAAAGGCGTGCGCTCTTTGTCGCGAACGCCGCAACCAGCTGGGCCCCCGTCGCCCGACTCCGCTCCCGAACTACTAGGCTGCCATCTTCGGGCTTTCTGCACGCGCGCAAATCCAGGCGACCGACTCGGGCTTCCCCCCTCGAGTCACGCCTTCCTCCCACGTTTTCCCGATATTGGCGCGGAGTCGCGTTTGGACGCGACCGACCCTCTGGACATTAACTCCCTCGCACCACGCCGGAGCTGACGCGGCTGTTCTTCTTGCGGTCCCGCAACGCGCCGCTCTCCATCCGGGCCTGTCTGAGGGAGCAAGCCGCACACACCTCGATGCACGACGCCGCGATCGGACCCTTGTCGGCTCACATGGATCGCGTGCAAGCTCTCGACCTGGCCCAAGTATAAGTACTGGACGTCCTTCCGAGCCGCTTTCTCGTCTTCCTGCCCCGCGCCTCGAACATGTCTCGGTAGAAACGGTGGCGTTCGCCCCCCGTCAATGCCGAAATTCTTGGGTTCTAAACGCTGCCCCGTCTCCTCTCCTTATCCTTTCACCAACGGCTCGTTACCGTGGTCGACGATGCACTACCCCCTCCCTCGTCAAACATCTCACCCACCTCCATCAAACATCTCACCCACCTCGAATATGAAAAAAGATGCCTCACGACCTCCTTTCCATCCGGGCAGGAATGAGTCGAAAAGCCTGATCACACAAACGAGAGGCATATAGACGGTGGGGGTCCCTTCTCGACTACACCGTGATATCCCAGAACCCGGCTGAAGGGTTTTGGAGACGTCGTCCACCCCTGGCGCGTCTGGAGTATCTGGAGCCTGTACGCGTTTGGTCCCTTCCGTCTGCGACGTTTTACAGAATCGTATCGCGGTTGCCTCCATATGCCGAGAGCTTCGACGTTGGCGCGAAAAAGTTCATGAACCCCACACGTGAACCGGTCCATGAACCGTTTGTGAACCGAGGAATCTTGTCAGAATTTTTGTCATCCAGAGCAGAAATTTCTTAAACTCTTGGGAAATATATCTGAAAGTTTTATCGGGTCCACGCACGCATCATCGCATCATCCCGCGAGTGGAACTCGGCGCCCTGGGGTGGCGCAGATCAGATCTACTCGGAGCCGCCCACGGATGGGCGTTCAATCACAATTAACTCCCCCCTTGTGGCACACGAGTAGAGCCCCCACACTCGTTCCTGGGCCATTGTGGATTCACTTTCGGTGAATGATAAGTAGCGGAAGCTCCCAGCTCTTCGACAGTGAAGCCCCCAGCTCCGGCCCATTTCCATGCTTCTCTTCCGCGATGTTGCGCTCAGGCTCTCGCGCGATTCCGACGTCTATGATAGTCTTCCTTGGGATTTTGTCCAGGACTACATACACCTCGCACGTGCTCTCAAGGATGAGATAGCGCTTGGACTGTCTGCTCATGGTCATCAGTCTGGACTTGTCCCTGCCGCCTTGCCCCTCTATGTGCATGAGTTTCTCAGGGATGCTCTGCAATCTGATGACCTTACCATCTTCCACTGCTGGACAGCCCTCCGTGATATTATCTGGCATATGCCACTGGTCAAACTCACTCCTGAGCATCAACATCTCTTCTACCGGTATGGCTGTAGAGCCGGCTGTCATAAGAATGAGCGTCTTGGTAACTCTTATCCATTGTCAACCACCAGTGCTCACTACTAAGTGCGCCACGTAGCACCGTTTATATTCTACCCGCCCATTCGAACATGCCAAACATGCCACGTTGAGCTCAAGAAGCACGAAAGGCATGCTGCCGTGTACTTCTCATGCAGCAGTGGCGCATATGCTGCTTATTCCTCATCTCTCGCATGCACAGGTGAGCAATCAGATCTTGTTCAGTTCGCTTGCTGTACATCTGACTCCCATGCTCAAGTCTGTCACTCACGATATTATCACAACTACTACGTCAAGGATGGCTGTCGGATCTACTATGGAGGCAATGTGGACGTCGTCCACTTTGAAGAACATTTCTTCATGGATCACAACCTATGTGAGCTCTTCATTTCACTCATGCTCTTTTCCTGGTGCGTACTTGGTCGTATTCTGTTTCCATGTCGGAGACCTCACCACGAACTGTTAGGGTGTCTGCGCACAATTGTGCAAATGTCTACAACCACACCCAAGTGGGTGATGGTGAACCTGATCGACGAAAGCCCCATACATGGAACCTGAATCTGACTTTGAGCAGCGAGCAGGTTTGGCACGCATTTTATGTGAGCTGTGTTATCCGGGATCACGCCTCTCGAGGCGCCACTCTCGTTCTTTCCAACATCGGAGATCATAACTCAAGGCTCAAAGAAGTCCTCGAAGCGCGAAATCTGCGGATCATTGAGATGGGGCAGCCAGAGCGGTCTCATGCCTGCAAAGCATGTGAGCGATTTATCCCTGGCACAGGTCATAACGGTCTCCGTGAGTGCTACTTTGCACTTCTTGGTGACTGCCAAGCCTGACACTCCCAAGGTCCACTTCGCGCAGCCGTCATGGATGGAATCACTCTCGGCCATCCTTGTTGTTCCATTCACAACTGCACCCAACCACTGATCAACAACCGAGCGCACTTCTGTTTGATGCACGAATACATGAAATACGAGTGCAGCGTTACAGATTGCAACGCAATCATTCCGAGCTTGGAGTACCAGGCTGGATTCCGTACGTGCTCTGATCCAGACCACCGCGATTTGGAGCGTTCAAAGAGGGATCGTCAGAAGGCTTTCTTCCAGTTGAGGCGGCTTCTGCAAAAGCAAGGTATCGTGCAGCCGGCAGACTCAATGGACAGCGGCACGTCTATTGCTGAGCCTCCAGAAGATGAACCCTGTGACGGTAAGCCTGACGATGGCAATCAAGTGCCAAAGATCCGACTCGGGCGACGACGCACTCACAACGAGCAGCTCATTTTCTGCTGCTGTGGTGTTATCGCAGCGCGCGCAACAATGTTCGGGGCAGAGTCTATCACAGGTGCTAAGGTACGGAAATACCGTTTTGTAGTGATTGTACTGTGACATTAACTACATGGCAACAGGATTTTGTCAAGTCCGTTTGCGGATTCAAAGCAGATAACATGTGGGACATCCTATTCTTTGACAACAACTGCGGACTTCAGGGACACGTTCGAACGAATGAAGAAGATTCGGAGTTCTTCCGTCGAACTATCCTCTGTGTGGATGTATTCCACTTCAAGTCCAAGCACAAGACTACCGACGAGTTCTGTCAGAAGCATTGCAACCCGGCAATGTGGACAGAGTTACACGACGATGCGGGCAAGTGGCATTTCAACTCCTCTGCGGCGGAACAGGGCAACGTATGGCTTGGAGGTTACCAGGCGATCGTACGAGATATGCTTCCACATCGATATAACTTCTTCTTAGACGAGATGATCATGCGTCGTAACGAGGTCACAATCAGGAAGCTTGAGGAATCGGGCATGGTGCCTTATCATGTCCCTAGGTATTAATTCAATTGATATTACAGGACACATGAATGTACAAGGACGGCTGTCTTGGAAGAATATGTAGGTCGGGGAAAAGCGCAATATGGCGGAGTGTCCGAGCGAGGAGAGGCGCCGTGATTGAGAAGGCAGGCCCGCCCCTGCAATGAACGACGGCGCAGGGTTCCCAAGATGGCGCGTGGCATCGTCGAAGGCCTGGATGAAGGAGACGGCGGTGGTTGATGAGCTCGGTGTGCCGGCGTTGAAGAGAGCAGGCCGGGCGCGGAGGTGAGAGCATGCCGACATGCACGTTGGAAAGCAATAGCGCAAGGCGCTGCCAATCGTGGTAGCGCACTCGCGCGATCGTCAAACATGAGACGGGCGCGGCGTGGTCGAAACGCCGGATCGGCTGCGGCAAGTCGGTTGTGGATGGGATGACGGGCGCCGTTGACAGGTGGATGCCGATGGTGGATTGGGGTATGGGGGTGGGCGGGGGAATAATAAGTGAGGGCCGTCTGAGTGGGGTGCGAGGAGATGAGAGGAGAGACGGATAGAGACGAGAGGTGAGAGTATAGCGGATGTTGTCGAAGCTAGCTGCAGCCCGGGTAATAGGCGCGCTCGCGCTCGAACGTGCGCGGATCGTCGGCAGTGAACGGGAGCGGGTCGAGCTTGAATGGGTTGAAGAAGGCGTCGTCGACGTCGACGTAGACGCTCGCGAGCGGCTGGCACTCGGCCGGGAGCGGGACGGACGCCGGGTCGACGACGAGCGCGGGGAGAGACGACGTCGAGCGGGCCCAGGGCGTGAGCGGCACGTCCGATTCGTCGTCCGAGGTGTCCTCGATCGCGTCGGGCATGGGCAAGTCTGCGTCGTCGTCGGCGGGCGCATGCGCGAAGGGCAGTGCGCCCGCGTCGGGCGGTGAGATAGAGGCGCCGACGTCGGAGCTGAAGTAGTTGAAAGAGGTGGCATGTAGAGGCTGGTACGGCGCACGGGATAGCGACGGGTGCGGGGGGCGAGACAAGGAGGTCATCTGAAGACGACGAGGGCGAGGCGAAAGGCGTGAGCTCGGCGGCATTGTCGTCCTCATCTTCGTCGACGGCTAGCGCCGCGACTTGAGCGCCTATTTCCGCATCGTTCTCCGCGTCATCGTCACTCAGGTTCTCGGGCAGCAAGTCCAGCCACGCGTCCTCTGAGCCACGTTTATCGGAGGCTACCAGCGCGGCGACGTCGGGGAACACGAAGGACTCCCGGAGGCCATCTTCGGCCTCGTCTTCCTCGTGCACACGTTCTTCTTCGTGTCCGTCTTGTTTCGGGCGCATGTGCACGTAGCGCTGCACCGGTCCTTATCGGCGACGGCTGGGTGCGAGCGCACAATCGAGGTTTTCAGCAGCACCCATCGGTGGAGGCTGCACGAGTCCTTGCACCCCGAGCTGGACACCGACTGCAGCTTGCTGCGGGCGAGGCTGGAGAGCGAGGAGGACAGAGACGGAGGCGGGCAGCGACGACATCTGTCTAGCCTTCGGTGCGCGGGGACGGGAGGGAGAGGGGGCGGTGCCGGGGCAGGATGGCGGAGCGAGGGGCGGGATGGCGGAGCGAGGCGGGATGGCGGAGCGAGGCGGGTTGGACCGCATATGCTCGCATGCGCGGGCCTGCAGACATGAGTGAAGGAAGGGAGACGACGTGGTAGCCAGAACACGGCTCTTTTACGCGAGCGGGAGGGCTAGGGCGTGGCGGGGTTCGACGGTCGTCCGGAAGGCTGGGTGTCGTCGGCGCACTGTTGGCCAGCTGCATTCCCGCCTATTCGACCCGCCCTATGCAGCCTTGCGCATATCTCTGTCGGGGGCCTCGTTGCCTAGTGCCGTGATCGTCGATGCGCAGCGCCTACATAGCGCCGTGGCATCTTCGCTGCGATGCGTCTGCCCCGCAGAGTGGCGAGCCGGCTATGAATGGTATGAACAAGCCGGATGATGGTTATGCAACGAATGACGTACGTTATACCAGACATCGTGCCTCTCCTTGGTAGGCGCCGTGATTTTCACCTCGCGTTGAGGTTAGACGCCACGGCGCTGTGTTGATAAAGACCGGGCGGCATGGGGTTACGATCGAGAGCGGATCTCGGGGGAGGCGTGGAGGAGGAACATTGGCGGCATGGTGTATGGGCTCTTGTCAGCGCCTCGGGCGGAGCACGCAGGACAAGGCAGGCAGGATGGGTTACGACACGATGGGCGCATGGCGGCATGACGCGACCGATTTGGCCATGCGTCGCGTCGCGTCGCGTCGCGTCGGGACGCGCTCATCGTGATCAACCATTGCCGCGTTGATTGAGAATTACCTCCGGGGTACATAAGCGGCCGCGCGCTGGCTGCTCAGCATGCTGGCTGCACGCAGCGCGCGCATGGCCTTTAGAGCAATCGAAGGCATTTTCCGCGGGCGCCCTTACCAGCTAGGCCACGCGCGCGCTGCATGTAGCCCGCATGTGTCGCCTCCAGCCCGATGCCTATTAGGGTCAAGGGCCCAGCTTACCTGCCACCATCGTCGACGTGCCCCAAACTCTCGACATGCCCCCAACTCTCGACATGCACGGCCTCGACAACGCACAAAGCCGCACGACCTCTGCGCCGCCGACGGCGCAGCACATTCGGTGTGACTTCGTCGACACTGGCTGCCTCGTTGAGGAGCTCGGGCTCATCGACTCGCATGCGTGGGCCCCCGAAGGCGATGGCTTTGCAGATCTCTCAGATCTCTCCGACTTGACTGATTCGGAGGATGAGCTGCCCAGTGGCAGCGTGCAGACTGGGACCGATTCAATGCAAGGGTGAGCCTCCTCCCTTGCCATCTACCCGGCCCTGCTCAACCGGCACACGCAGGCTCTTCAAAGACAAGGTCGAGCTTACAAAGACACGAAGGTCAAAAAACCAGCGAGTCCGAAACCAGGGCCGGAAGCGAGGACGGTTCGACCTCCATGCGTCGTCAGACCAGCATCTCGAAGTCGATCATTCGGTTGAAGCGCATGCGCAAGCCAATGCGCAGGGGTCGTACGTAGCCAGGTCGAAGGTCATCTCCTTGAAGCCTGCCTCCCCGACGCTGGTAGGCATGGGCAGCGGGTGAGCAACACCTGCTTGAGACTCTGCGGCTCTGAGCTCTTGCGCTAATTATGCCTGGCAGCGGCTCCGTCTCCGTCTTTGATCATGCCCGTCGACTCGTCGTGTATCGGGAGACAGTTATATCGTCGACATCTACGATCAACGAGTGCCTTCTTTCTGCCCAGCAGCGCCTGCGCAGCTCGGGTAAGCCGGCGTTTGTCAAGGCCGGCGACAAAGCATCAAGAGGCCCGTTTGACCAATACTTTTTCTCACTCCACCGGGGGTCTACCAGGGTTCGTGCTGCTGCTGCGCAGCCAATCAATCAGCTCACGCATGGCAGCAGACACCTCGAATGTCTGCCAGCTACAAGAAGAACACGGACCTTGCAGAAGAGCTTCTGCAAATCCTCGAGCCCGTCAAGAGGCTCGTGAATGGTGCGACAACCTCTACCTATTCAGATTAGCCCTGCTCATGGGCCTGCCAGCAACGTTCAGGAGGAAGTGGCCTCGGCTGCATCAGCGGTACGCCGCTGCCTTGGACTTCATCCAGCAGCATGTCCAGGGCGCCAAGCCCCTTTTTGGCGCCTTCGCCTCATTTGCCATCAACATGGATGGCGTCATCTGTGATATTCACCGTGATAGCCAAAACTTCGTGACCGGAATCTGCGTCGTGATGCCCTTCGGCGACTTCCAGCCATCGGCGGGTGCTTGCCTTGTCATCGAGGAGCTCGGCCTGTCCTTCGAAGTGGCGCCAGGCGTCGCCATTTATTTTCCAAGTGCGCTATATAACCACTACAACACTCAGCTCTCCCAGATGGGCGTGAGGGGATCCCTCGTCCTTTGGACGGGAGGGACGCTGATTCAATGGGTGGATTGCGGGGGCAGGGCCAAGTGTGAGATGCCTGCGGAGGACAGGGCTCGGTATGAGTTGTCGGCGAGGGATCGGCTTGGTGAGGGGCTGAATCTTTTGTACCCTGACTCGTTGACTGTAGAGTATTAAGCTGATTGCGGCCGCTGTACGAACATGTCAAAGCAGCAGAAACTTCATCACGGAATCTTTGCTGTGGTGCCGTTGGAGACTTTCGGTCGTCGGTGGACGCCTGGGTTGTCATCGAGGGCTCAGCTTTAGCCTATCTATCGTAATTCACGCCATCCATATGATAGAATACAGTTTACTTTTTATATCAACATACAACTAAGCAGGAGAGGATGGCTGTGATGTTATACAGGATGATTGTGTAGACGAAGGTGTCTCGTCGGCCCGTGCAATGCTAGCTCGCTGGACAAGGGCCAGCGAGTATGGTAGATCCTCGTCGGCATCATCGTCTTGATGAAATATATCACCGTACTGCTTGCTCATCTTCAAGATCCGAGCTGCGGCTTCTCGATTAAGGCCGAGGTCTTGTTGAGCAAGGAGAAGAGCTGTTTCCGGGATCATGATATGCAGAACAAGGTCAGGAATGGACAAGCCACTCGAAATCATGCCTGCCGGACCATGGTCGAACAGAAATCGGATAACTGTCCCCATAATGGCTGCTCCTTTCTCGCCGAAGCTGTGAGCGAAGTTGTGAATCTCATTAGGCTGATCAAGCTGTGAGGAATGACTCACTATCCACTGCTGCCTGAGCCTATGACTTCCCTGGCTCCACGCCGGTGTATGGAGAGTGCTGAGTCGTAGAACTCCGAGTTCATAGGATTGCTCCAGATCACCTCTAGCTTCGAACGGAGTGCCTCAACTCGAGGGCCTAAATCAGCCCAGTTGATTTCCATTGGCCAAGGCGGAGTCTGTCGTTCATATCTAGCCTCCAGCGCATGACGGATGCAGAAGGTGAGGGTGGCCGATGAGCTCTGAGTGCTTCCAGACAGTAGAGATCGCTGAAGATAGAGAAGTGGGGTTGATGGACGTGCGGGAAATTGACCAGAGCAATACGAGCAGGTGTGAATAGTGAGTGCTGAAGGACAATTAGTAATGGACTTTTTCTGAGAATAAGATCGAGGGGCATACCTGTTGAATCTTGTTGGCTAGTAATCTCGCAAGCCTTGATCGATGTCTTCTCCAAGCTAAGGCGCCTTTCAACAACCTGTACAAGGTTCTTCCACAGGCCATTAGCCTTCTCGATGTCTTCTGGCTGAGCGTTACACCAAACATGTGTGTAGTGTTTGTACCATGTACCTTTGACGTGCTCACCGCAGTTGGGAAACGCAACACGGAACCTCTGCTGGAGTGTACCACCTAGGCCATCGAGCTTCTGAAACCCTTTCTCCATGGCTTTCAGCGATCGAAGTGGCCAGAGACTCCGCTTGGATGTCGGCTCAAGAGAGTCCTCAGTGAGATCTATGATCTCAGGCTTTGACTGACAGGGAACAGCAGAAGGGAGTGGTGGCCCAGACGCAGGAGACAACCGTCTAGACACACCTCCAACTTCAGCGCACGCCGCCATAGTGAACGGATCTGACACGCTATCAAGGTCACTTGAGGAAATCAACAGTGGGGATGCTGCAGGCGAGTCTGAGCCTGTTGACAGAGCAGGCGTGACGGTGGAAGAGTGGTCCGTCAAGCACGGGGGTTGATGGGGTGTCTTGGGTAGGATGCCGTAAGTTAGGGGAGTAATTCGAGGACGGATAGACCGGGCAGGCGACAATGTCAAATCACCAAAATTGGCTGGCCGCTTTTTCGGTTTTCCTTGATAGCTGATTGAAAGAATCTCCTGGGACATACTGATCCCATCCCCGACACCGCAAATACGGTAGAGTAGAATATCGGAGTCCGAGACATCACGAGAGAAGTCCATGGTCTGAGCCTCCCACTGATGAGAGCCCACAACGTAGGTTTCCACGACGTCGATATCAGCAGGGAGTCCAAGGGTCTGTCGAACAGACAAAGGGCAGTCTCCAAGAACAAAGAAAGGCCAGTTCGAACATCTCAGGCTCAGACGCTTTGCCAGCCGGCCCTCCTGTTGCAGGCAGATATCAGTGATATCCTACAAAGGCAGGAATGTGACACGAACCTCTGCCCACACAACAAGGGATAGGTTCTTCTTTGCTGATTCTTCCGCAGCTTTCTGCTCAGCTACCCGTGTAGATCGAGTGACGTAGGCGTCCTCAGCACGTTTCTGGGCATCGTAATGCTCTGGAGCAAGTGGCTTGGAGCCATCGTACCAAGCATCTCGATCTGCCACTCGCCCAGTCTGATCAATTCCAGTGTCTGCGACATGGAGCGGTGTGGAACCAGCACGAGACTTCGATGATGTGGACTGGCTAAGCTCCTGAGCCCTCTTGATATGGTTTTTGACTTTGCAGCTGCGCTTCTGAGAGATCTGCCACGCAGCACAATCATCGATGCAGTATCGCATGGTGCATAACTCCGTGCCTTTCTTCGGTCCCAAGGCCCGAGCATTGCACTGATGGCCACGGCACCTATGATCCCATCCCGCAGACGGAACCTTCTCAAATGAAGGCTGGGATGTGCCGTTCGCGGCAGGCTTTGGTGAATTGTCGCCAGAGTGTTCAGCAAGAGTAGGGTCAACCGAAGGCTCAGAAATGAATGTAACAGTCTCTGAAGATGAGCCACCGGTCAAGGAAGCACTGTCACAAGTAGTTGGAGATCCAACACGATCAGGGGTTGGCGGCGCAGAAGATGGATGTATCGATGGGTCCACAGGAGCGAGATCACGACGCCATCGGTGGAAATGACGAGAAGTCGGATCACCAGACTTCCCTGTGCACTGAATATGCAAGATCAATATGAGCGCATGGCACAAAGGGCAGTTGTGAAGCTTACAATCTCGTACCACATCCCAGCATGAGAGGGATTCCGTACACCGCGGCAGAGAAGGACCTTGATCTCGGATTGGCATCGATGTGCAAGGTCACTGGCAAGAGGTTCGCCACAGACTCTGCCAGATACAGGCTCTATAAACGAGAAGCTCGGTACAGATAGCATGCTGGCTAGTAGGAGTTGAGACAAGCGAGCAAGATGTCGTTTCGGGGGCGGGAGGGTCGACTTCGATGTCGGAGGGCACTCAACGTCCATAGACGTCCTCTTATAAACCCAAAGTGTTGCGCCTGCGCCACGGGCCATGCAAGCCACCCTGCATTGGGCATACTCTGGTGGAACAATCGTGAGGCCATGCTCGTGGGCGAGACGGCAGAACTGTGGTGGCGGAAGTTGAATCCACCAAGGCACACCGAGGCTCCCAACCACTGTCGCCCACCTGTGGAGCGGTGGGGCGGGATGATTGTTTTGCATTGCACCAGAGTGTTCATGAACCGCAAGCGGTCATGAACCTGGAAGTTATGAACCCGGCGTAGGTTCACTAGTTATATATCACGTGGGTTACAGGAGTTCACCGAATGTTCATAAACCGGGTTCATAACTGTCCGTGAACTTTTTAACGCTGGTGTCGAACTTCTGCATATGCCCTCGCTTGTCGTTTGATCTCTTCCCCGTGACCCAGACCCGGGATGGTCAGTCCCCTCTCGGCGTTTTTTTTTTTTGGGACAAGCACTGCACACGGGCCCGTGCAGTCATCTATCCTATACTATCTGCACAGATAGATGTAAAAAAAAAAACGATCCGACTCCTCGTCGCGTTTAGTATACTCGAACGTCTCCCGTCCTTACCGATTACCCCCCGCTGCGTTTTCCCCCGGTCCGATGGATTCAATCACGAAACGGATACTGTATCCCTGTCCCAGCTGCTCCGGCATCTCCAGCCAGCATCGGATCACGCATCGATCACGGCGGCCAGGGGTCTCATCATCATCAAAACGCCCCGCGCGTTCTTCTCGAGCACACGGCGAGTCTCCCGCCGACCGAGCTCGAAAAAAAAACAAAAAATCCGAGATTGGGTGGAAAAATCAATCCACCGACAAGGTCCGTTCGGGGTCGCTCCTTCCGCCCCCGTCTTCCGGGTTCTTTCTTATATCGGGTTCCCCGCGACTCGAGCGGGTTATATACTTGGACCTACGGGGCGACTCGGACGAGTTCACCCAGGAACTTCGTTGCCGAGCTAAGCGCGACCGCTGGAGCTGATAGAGAGACGCGAGGCGTTGGGCCGCGGTGCCGGAGCCTCACTCTGATCGACGATCCCCCCGTGACGGGGTCCTTGAGGATCTTGGATGTTACTGCGAGAGATCACTACTACGACTCACGTCCGGGTTTCTACGAGACCAAGGCGAAATGGCGCATAAGTTGCGCAGGTCGAAATGGTTGACGGGCCCCGCGTTTGTATCCCGAGTTCCCTGAGCGGCGCACGGGTAAAAACACCGATGTTAGTTCGCCTCAACGAAAAAGCATCCTTGTGTTTTCTAATTGAAACTTTCCGTGTTATCCACCACTTTATTACCGCTGAGATCGGGCATGTTGCCGTTGCGGCGGGTTTGGGATACGTCAGCAATCCCATTCTCCGGGTTTGCAAGACGATTCAAGCAAGCGGAAAGGGAACCGGCGTGTAGGTTCAGCAGAGCCAGTTAAGCTCTCGACGCGTCCAAAGATTGAGAGGAATCCGACGATGCGATGGACGAGTCTGAGCCCGGAGGATAACCCCATCAACGCGTCTGATACATAAGTTTCGATGGCGCGTGATCCAGACGGGAGGACTCAACTGAAGGCTGCTGTCCCTTTTTACGCCTCCACCATTTCCTCGAAATATCTGTGTCTTGGGGAGCCAGGAGCCAAGGTGTCGTTTTCGGCACAGGTGAATGCCCAGGAGAACGGATCCTTCGGAACCACAGTCACGACTACCGTGGTCGTGTCTGCCGGTCTGAGCGGGAAGTATAGAAGGGACTTGCAGAGGGAGTTTATACGTACTCGTCAGACGCATGACGCTTCAATAACAAGTTTTCCCTGCGTCACGTACGTGCTATGTTGGCTACGACAATGACGACCTCTTATTCAACCTACTCAGATCCTCCGCTGCTGATGTTCATTGAAGGGACTCTCCGGGAATGGCGCAAATATGTCAATAGTAACCCAGAGCTACGCACCGAACCGTTCACTGATTTTTTTATTTTTTTTGCAGATTCGTACGGGTTTGCGTTTACATATACCTACCCCGTGGCGTCCCATCGCGCTCAGATGCTTCCGCAAGGGCAGTGAGGCTGGAACGGCAGAGGGCAACGGTTAAGTCGACGAGATACTCGGACACCGAATTTAGAGCCTTCTCACATCAGACCTCGCGGTGGTTGGCTATTCTAGCCGTCGCTGACAGCACGCTTCTGCAGAAGGTATGCTCATTCTATATCCGCCTCGTATCCAGTCACCGACCGTCTCACAGGAGCATTTGTCGCCTTCTCCCAACGCGGGCTCGCTGCGCCTAGGATGAGGGAGAGAACGAGCTCGACATGGATGTGAATGGCCCCAGAATGCGTGGAGCAGGGTGCACGACGAGGAAGCCGATGGCGCGCGCCACGTTTAGCGTCATGGATCTGCTTTTACCGAAGTTGTACGTCCATGACGCTTTGCGAACAAAGATCCTGCTTGTACTCATGGTACCTGCTCTAGGTTTTGGGGCATTCTCCTAGTAGGTAAGCCACGTGCCTTGCCGGCATGCGTTCTCAAGCCCGGCATGGGCTCGCACTGACTGGAAGTGGCTGGTCGTATTTTACGGCAAGAAGCCGGCATGCATCTGCGGGAGGGAGGAAGGCTGGGGTAACGAATCCGAGGGTCGGCACACACCTATATCCGTGGAGCTTGCCACAGTTGCGGTCGTCCGTTCGGTACTTGATCTCTCTGCTTTCCTCTGCGCGGTCGGAGGCACGTTCGAGCATATCTATGCCTTTCCGAAGAGATATAAGCTCGGAACAACTATTCAGGGCCAGCCAGACCGACAGCTACGCCGATCATCTTGAAGTTGACGTTTTGATCGTCGGTGCCGGCTTCGGTGGAGTGTACTTGCTGCATAAGCTCCGCGATGAATATGGTATGAAGGTCAAGGTCGTGGAGGCGGGCAAGGACCTCGGCGGGATCTGGTAAGGGACCGGTTGCTCCGGTTGTGTGACGTCTGATTTAACGGGCAACTAGGCATTGGAATTGCTACCCCGGGGCGCGGGTAGACTCGACGGTGCCGGTGTATGAACTCAGCATAGAAAAGCTCTGGAAGGTCAGTGCTGCCGGAACGATGATGACACGCACAGAAGGCTCACCGCATGTCACAGAATTGGAATTGGACGGAGAAATACCCGGGATACGCCGAACTACGCGCATACTTCGACTTTGTCGACCAACAGCTCGACATCAAGAAAGACGTCGCTTTTGATTCGAAGGTCGTCCGCGCGCAGTTCGACAAGCCCTCGCAAAGATGGGTGGTGAAGATGGAAGACGGGCGGACCGCATATTCCAGATTCTTCATCTGCGCCACCGGGTTCGCGGCGAAGCGCTACTTTCCCGACTGGCCCGGTCTGGAGAAGTTTAAGGGCATCATGCATCACTCGTCCTTTTGGCCCAACGAGGGCGTTGACGTGACCGGAAAGAAAGTTGCCGTCATTGGCACGGGCTGTACCGGCATTCAAATCGTGCAGGAGACAGCGAAGATAGCTGCGTCTGTCACTGTTTTCCAACGCACGCCCAATATCGCTCTGCCAATGCAGCAGGAGAAGTTGAACAAGGACGCGCAAGAGGCGCAGAAAAAGGATTACCCGGAGTTGTACAGATACCGCCTGAGGACCCCAAAGGGTCATGCGATGGAACCCGCGGATCGCAACACTTTCGACGACACTCCTGAACAGCGCGAAGCGTTCTTCGAACAACTCTGGCAGAAAGGGGGCTTTTCCTTCGTGGCGAGCGCGTACAAGGACCTGGCGTTAAACGAGAAGGCCAACGATGAGGCGTACCAGTTCTGGGCGAACAAGACCCGCGCCCGCATTACCGATCCCGTCAAGCGTGACCTCCTCGCGCCACTACAAAAGCTGCACCCGTTAGGGGCTAAGCGTCCCTCCCTCGAACAGGACTTCTATGAGGTGATTGACCGGCCGGAGAACGAGTTGGTCGATGCCAAAAAGACGCCGATCGTCGAGGTGACTGCGAAGGGCATCAAGACCGCCGACGGCAAGGAACGCGAGTTCGACGTCATCGCCCTCGCCACCGGCTTCGACTCCCTGACGGGCGGGCTGAAGGATATGGGTCTGAAGGACGTCAACGGCGTGGACCTGAGCGAGAAATGGAAGAACGGGACGTACAGCTACCTGGGCATGACGCTTTCGGGATTCCCCAACCTGTTCTACGTGTACGGCCCGCAAGGCCCGACAGCGCTCAGCAACGGTCCCAGTTGCATCGAGTTACAGGCGGACTGGATCATCGACGCCATCACCAAGATGAGAAAGGAGGGCATCAGTTCCATCGAGCCCACGATGGCCAGCGAGCAGGAGTGGCATGACAAGGTCGAGATGCTAAGCAAGAATACGCTCTTCCACAACACCGACAGTTGGTACATGGGGGCGAACATCCCTGGTAAGCCGAGGGAGCAACTGAACTACCCGGGTGGCCTCCCGCAATATACGCGGGAATGTCGCAAGGCGTTGGACAACGGATTTGAGGGCTTCGTGACCGCCTGAGCCAGGTACCAGATGGAAGTAGGTAAAATATGCGAGGACTAAGGATAACGTGTACATGAGTAGGAGGTGGTGGAATTGCTTTACAAGCCTATGGGAGACTGTAATCAGCCACCGGGGATATTTCATCTTGTTCCGGCGCTGGCGGAGCTAGCATTGCTTCCGTCTTCCGCCACGTATACAACGATGAATTTTTCAATTCTAGATGGCGACTCGCATTGTGCATACCCGGGCTGTAAAATGAGGCTCTTCTTCGCGACAGCATGTGCTTCGATCGCTTGGGTGCTCGTCCGGTCCTGAAACCGGATCCACCGCTGTCCATCGAAGCGTGGTCGAACTGTTTGATCGCAGCGACCACTTACTGCCAGCCACAAGTCTCTACTTATGTCGCCCCAAGCGACGGATCACGCCCTTCACGAAGGAACCACATACGCAAATGGGGCCTTCTCTTGATGGTGGTTCGGAGTCGAGATGGACAGCAGCCAAAGGAACTAGTTCGCAACAAGTACGGATTTGGTATTCCAGGTGCATACACGCTTTGATCTACCGATGCTTTCCCGTCTAACTCGTGGCGGTTGCACGCAGTGACAGGATTCAGTTCTGTATCGCTATATTGCACTTGCACGATTCCCGTATGAGGAGCGACAGAAAGAAACATAGAACCTTGCATCTAAAGGGACAACAAGCGTTTTTTGCGCATTCGATCAAGACAAAGAACGACTGCCATACAATTAGCGGAAGCCGCCGAACATCGAGGTACTCGTTTTCGGACGAACGCAGAGAGGACGCTTGGTTTCCGACACCCCGAGTCGCAACAGGTATGCGCATATGACGCCTTCCGTGTTTGCCCTCCACCCGGACGTTGAGTTCTTTACAGGCGATGACGCGCGAATAAAACACGCAACCTTCGCGATCGACCTAGGTCTTCTCTACCATACAACTGCTGCACCTCGTCCATAGTTGGGGCGTCTGTCTCGATTCAGCATCCCTTTCACGGAGATGAGGCCCAGACGACCAAACCATTCCAATCAGTCCTCGACGTTGTCGGGGTTATTCCCTTCGACCGGATGAGGAATGCCGATCTCGTCACGGTGTTGAGGGGCGTGTTGAGGGACGAACCGGGTCATCAAGGATAAAGCGAACTCGGCAGTTGACCTGTATAACTCAGAACGCGTGGGGTGGGGGGTGGGGGGGCACGAAGGTGGAATCGTAGCTTCAGAGACGAGGAAGCCGATGGCGCGCGCCACGGCAAGCGTCAGGGCCCCGCTGGACAACATCAAGATATGTCATCGCGCCGAACACAGACTTCATCCCCGCGGGGTCCTCACGCAAGTGAGACCGTTCTGCCAAAGTTGTACGTCTCTGCTTCGCGAACAAGGTCCTACTTGCACTAATAGTAACGGTTGCTCATCCCAGGGACGACCACCCTGTGGAGAAGCCACGTGCCTCAGACTTCTCTCGGCACGTATTCTCAAGCCAGTTGCGTCCTTTACACAAGTGGGTGATCATTGCATACGAGAGGAAGCCGAGACGCATCTTTGCGGGCGACGGCTCGCGGGCTGGAGAAACATGTGCGCAGATCGACACGCATCTATATAAATGAAGATCCCTGCAGTCGCACCTTCGCTCCCGGAAATTGCGCCCCAAACCGTTTACTCCGTCTTTCCAGTTGTACGGGGGTCCACTTCAGCTATGCCCTTCCGCAGAGATATCAGCTTGGACCAGCCTGTGAGGACTGGACAAACAGGCAACTATGCCGACCATCTCGAGGTCGATGTCCTTATCGTCGGCGCCGGCTTCGGTGGAGTGTACCTGCTGCACAAGCTCCGCGATGAGTATGGTATGAATGTCAAAATAGTCGAAGCGGGAAAGGACCTTGGTGGAATCTGGTAAGAGTCATTTTCATGCCGATTGCTACGAGGCATGATGTCTTATTGGCGAGCTATAGGCATTGGAATTGCTACCCAGGCGCGCGCGTCGATTCGATGGTCCCGGTCTACGAATACAGCATAGAGAAGCTGTGGAAGGTTAGCACCGTTCATGTGGTGATCGAGAAGGCAGCCGACTGACTGCACGGCTCAGAACTGGACTTGGACGGAGAAGTACCCCGGTTACGCCGAGCTGCGCGAGTATTTTGCTTTCGTTGACCAACATCTCGACATCAAGAAAGATGTCGCCTTCGACTCGAAGGTCGTCCGCGCACAGTTCGACAAACCCTCGCAGAGATGGACCGTGAAGCTGGAAGACGGCCGGACCGCGCACTCGAAGTTCTTCATCAGCGCCACCGGGTTCGCGGCGAAGCGCTACTTCCCCGATTGGCCTGGCCTGGAGAAGTTCAAAGGCGTCATGCACCACTCGTCCTTCTGGCCCGGTGAGGGCGTCGATGTCACCGGGAAGAGGGTAGCCGTCGTCGGCACCGGCTGTACCGGACTCCAGATTGCACAGGAAACGGCCAAGACCGCCGAGTCCGTGACCGTTTTCCAACGCACGCCCAATATCGCTCTCCCAATGCGGCAGGAGAAGTTGACCAAGGAGGCGCAAGCGGCGCAAAAGAAGGACTACCCCGAGATTTACAGATACCGCATGCAGACCGCTTCCGGCTTCCCGGCGGAACCCGTTGACCGTAACGCGCTGGATGACACTCCTGAGCAGCGCGAGGAGCTCTACGAGGAGCTCTGGCAGAAGGGCGGATTTTACTTCTTGCTGGGCGGGTACAAAGACCTGATGTTGGATGAGAGCGCCAACGACGATGCGTACAAGTTTTGGGCGAGGAAGACCCGCGCGCGCATCACCGATCCCGTCAAGCGTGAGCTCCTCGCGCCACTCGAGAAGCCGCATCCATTGGGGTCCAAGCGTGCATCTCTCGAACAGGACTATTACGAAGTCGTCGACCGGCCGGAGAACGAGTTGGTGGACGTCAGGAAGACGCCCATCGTTGAGGTGACGGAGAAGGGCCTCAAGACGGCCGACGGCAGGGAACGCGAGTTCGACGTCATTGCCCTCGCCACCGGCTTCGACTCCTTGACGGGCGGAATGAAGGACATGGGCCTGAAGGACGTCAACGGCGTGGACCTGAGCGAAAAGTGGAAGAACGGGACGTACACCTACCTGGGCATGACTCTATCAGGGTTCCCCAACCTGTTCTTCCTCTACGGCGCACACGGTCCGACGGCGTTTAGTAACGGCCCAAGTTGCATCGAATGTCAGGCGGACTGGATCATCGACGCTATAGCGAAGATGAGAAAGGAGGGCATCAACTGCATCGAGCCCACGATGGCCAGCGAGCAGGAATGGCATGACAAGGTCGAGACGATCAGCAAGAACACGCTCTACCACAACACCGACAGTTGGTACATGGGCACAAACATCCCTGGCAAGCCGAGAGAGCAGCTGAACTACGCGGGCGGCATCCCGCAGTATACGCGGGAGTGTCGCGAGGTGCTTGATAACGGATTTGAAGGTTTCGTGACTGCATAAGAAGCTACTTATATGGAATACGTTCCATCTCGGTGAACTTGCGATGAAAACCGTAACGTTTACCTATATGTAGCTCGACTAGTTACCCGTGAGCAATCGTTCGTCCGTTCGTCTCCGTATGACCTGCACCGGTAATCTCGGGTATGCTCAACCGGTCGAAACGCCACGTGCTTCTGTAGCGCCACCATCGGACCTTCGCCCCGACAGAGACTCTCCTGACGAACGTGCACTCGAGTCGTGATAAAACCCCCACCGAAAGACACGTATTACGCCCTATAAAATATGACTGACACGTAGGGCCTCCGTAGTATATAAGTAGAGTACAAAAGGATATGTACTCTAGCTTTCTCCTGCGCACTCAACGAGACTTACCCCGGTCTACTGTGTGAACTCTGAGGAACTCTAAACCGTGTGACTACACTTCGCTTACAAAGCTTACCCGTCGTCACATATTTTTGACCGTTTACTTCTTGTGAGTAAAACAATCAAATCGTCTCTAGGCTGACTTCCTTTGATTTAGGTTCCAACTCGGATTGATCACCCGGGTCTATCCTATCATTGGACGTCGTCCGTTTCGTAAGTACTACAGTTACATTTATCCAATACGAGAATTACGCTATGGTTGCTCCTACGGATAATGTACCTCGACGCGTCCTTCGCAGTGACTCGCGACGAACCGAGTCCGGCGATAGTGCCGCAACCGGCAGAACCATCTCAAGGGTCGACTCCCGAGAGATGGATCGTCTGCAAGATAACGTGGGTGAGCCCGAAGCTCCCCGCGCCATCGCCATACCGGGAGGATGGAGCGCTATCCATGCGCCCCCCTCCAATATCAGGCTCTCAGCTCCGATCGAGATTCCGCTGCCGTCTTCGTCGACCGGCTCCGGACCAACGACAGCCCTGAGTGGGCTTACTTCGCTGTCTATGATAGACAGGAGTACGAGTGTTCTGGATGATGACCAGAACGCATGGACTGCCGTGCCCCGCAGGTCACCGCAGCCCAGAGTAGATCGTAGCAGCTTTGTTAATAAATTCGCTGTTCTACACGAAGAAGAATCGAGTGAGTGTCACGTGTCGGATCTTGGGCCATAACCGGGCCAAGTACGATAGCTCCGGTCGTTCCGGGTTGTCCGCCATCGGAGTAGCAGCTCCGGTACCGGACCTACATTATCACATGAATAGTCCTCCGGCGACTCAACGTCCCGGTAGTTCTCGAGTCATAACGGATTCAACTCCGACGTTCACGACCGATATGCCTTTAACGGTTTGATATTCCCTTCGGACTTATTCTACCTCCGATTATCAGCTTGTAACCATATGCTCCGTCCTTACGATTGACAGTTCCACATGGTTCATAGTTCCGATAACTCCTTATTCCACATGGTTCATAGTTCCGATAACTCCCTATCGATACGAGCTCCGAACCGTGCCTCCGCGTATATAAACTCCTAGCTCCTGTACTCTAACTCCTTAGTTCGAATATCGACTAAGTTACTCCTCTGCTCCGACACGGACTTAGAGCGCGTAGCGACTCAAGCCTTAAAGCTTGAGTCTGGTCCGTACTCGCACTCACTCTCT